GCTCCAAAATCTCCCAATATTTTGGCCACTTGGCCTCCATATTGAGCCTTTTTTGAGCTTTTGCCTCCATTGGTGATGACCACCTTGGGGTTTATTTTCAAGTAGGTCTTTATATCGTATACTGTGAAATACTGTAAAATTAAGGAATGTTAAAATGATGTTGGACAGAAAATAAGTGGTATTGGTAAAAAGTCTTTTAAGAACATGCAAGTATGGACTGATAATGGTTAAAAATATATATATACTTACAATAGGTGATGATATAGAGTTATGAAAAATGACAAAGGGTAAGGATTTGCTGAAAGGACTTTTTAAATGGGAATACAAAAGGGGAGGTGTGAGGTGGTCAAAGAATCAAGGAAATGAGACAAAGGTTGGAGTCAATTTTAATTTTTTTCTGTTTTTTTCTTCTATATTTAACTATTGTTATTTCCTCTTTTTTATATTTTACCCTTTCTGTGTGTGTTTTTTTCATTTTCCTTCTTTTATCTTTTTTTAGATTGTTATTTTTGTGAACTGTATTGTGTAAACTCTATGTTTGTTTTATAAAATCTTAATAAATATTATACAAAAAAAAAAAAGAATAGGGGGCATTTTCTATCAATCCCCACCCCCGTCCAAAATACCTTCCCTTAGATTGTTTTCCCTTGGACTGTTTTTTTCAACGTAAGAATTGCCACTTGACTTGCTGTCTGCCATACACTGCTATCTCTGGCTGCAAGCCAACGTGCAGTTTAGGAGCAAAATGTCATTGAAAACAGTGAGACTTACTTCTGAGAAAGAATACTTAGGATAGTTTTGTCTCTAGATCAGAGCTTTCCAAAACAGCGTGTTTGCGACACATTCGTGCGTCGGCTGCAGTGTGTTGGTGGTTTTCACATGAATGCTGCTGCGCTCCTCCTAGGCTGGAAAGGGGTTAGTTTAACCTCCGGTTTGCTAGTGAAACTGAATTACTGTGTCACAAAAATGCTGCATGTATAAAAAGTGTTTCACCAGCATGAAAAGTTTGGAAAACTCTGCTTTAGCTCCTTCCCCCTGCCTTGCAAGTCTGACTTAGAAAAACCATGGTGAATAATCACAGGGTCCAAAGGTTGAAAAATTCATCTACTTGTGGGGTGATCCTATGTATTTGGGAGTGTGTTTCATTGAAGCTGGTGGGACTTACTTCTGAGTAAACTTGCACAGCTGTTTAGCCAAGGAAACATGGGCTCACTTTCTTCTTGCAGAGCCCAAAGCCTGGAGACCAGATTGAGATTTATTGATTTGGTTACCAACACTGGGCTATCTACTATCTAATTCAAACTGAATTACTGTGTCACAAAATGCTGTGTGTATAAGAAGTGTTTCACCAGCATGAAAAGTTTGGAAAGCTCTGCTTTAGCTCCTTTCCCCTGCCTTGCAAGTCTGACTTAGAAAAACCGTGGTGAATAATCACAGGGTCCCAAATTCATCTGCTCGTGGGAAGAGAGCGAGGCTCCTGCAAGCCATGGATACTAAGTTTTTTATTTCTTGCAAAAAGAGAGCTTGGAATGAAATCCACGATAAGAGCAGCAACTCAGTAAAGCGCTGGGCTCTGTACTGTTTATATGCCTGTAATTTTATGTAAGTTTTCTTGACTTAAATATTTTTATACTTTATTTTATTGTGCAATAGTTGAACTGATTTTTGTTTCTGCCTTTGGTTTGTTATAAAACCAATAAACATTTCGTCTTTTAAAAAGAGCTGGGAAGGGAAACAAACCTCGAGAGCAGGAAAGAGCTAAGAATAGGGTAATTTCCTCAGTGAAAGGGGATTTCCATGAATTATACTGGAACAAAAAGTGAAAAAGAGAGAAAATGGAAAATATAGACTATGCAGTGGTAAAGGTTTAATAAAATGAACCATGGACGGGGAGAAGGGAAGTCAGTGGGAAATGTATGGTTTGTATTTTGGCTTAATATTATTGTGCAAATTTATAAAATTGAAAATGATAACTACACTAAAAAAGATAACGATGCCACAGAGCGAGGTCTGGGAGAAATATTTGCCATAAGCTACACAGGTGTAAGAAATCTGTGGTCCTCCAGGTGTGGTTGGATTCGAACTCCCATCAACCCTAGCAACTAGGGTTGCTGGGGTTATGGGAGTTGTGGTGCAGCAACATCCGGAAGGCCACAAGTTCTCCATCCCTGAGCTACAGTATAAAAGAAAAGGCTGCCTCTGTGGCTGTGATCCTATGTATTTGGGAGTGTGTTTCATTGAACCTAAAGGGACTTACTTCTGAATAAACTTGCACAGAAGTTTTACGACGCAATACATTGGCCCACTTACGTCTGGCAGAGACCAAAGCCTGGAGACCACATTGAGATTTATTGATTGGGTTACCAACACTGGGCTATCTACGTAGGCGATGGATATGTGGTCCACCTGACTGCTGCAGGTAAGAGCTTCTCATTAGAAAGGGTGGTTTTATGAGAGGGAAGAATATGATAGAGAACATTGGCAGATTACCCCTGAAGAAACACAGCAATTGGGGGGGGGGGGAGGTTGCACACCACTGGCTTAGGGACTAATTGTTGCTAGAAGTTCTATGTCCTGATACTTGCAATTGTTGTAAGCCAGTTAGAGGACTGCTTTGTAGCCAAGAGATTGCATTCTGGTTGCCTGTAAGTTTTTTTTGGGTTGCCTTGGGCAAAATAAGAGTGACTAACAATAAAAAAATAGTATTTGTCAAAACAACAGCAACAACAACAACAACTGATGTCTTATTGAAGACAATGTTGTTGATGAAATGCAGGGAATCCAGGCCTAATGGTCACTGTTTCTGAGTTTCTTTTCTCTCTCTGTTCTTGAGATGGGAGTACAGGAAGTTTTTTCTCTGGTTCTCTGCCTGCCAACACAACAAAGGCAGTGGTGAAGAAAGAAAAGCTTTCAAAAGTGGCAGGAAACGACTACTGGAAGGTCAACAAAGAGAAGGACAGAAAATATAAAGCCAGGCCTGTAAGCGAAATAATTAGCACTGCAAATGAATATGTTCTTCTTCTTCTTTGTCTTCTTCGAGTTCTGCCAGTAAAAGTTTGAATAATATTTTAATGGGTATGGACAATGATCTATTCCAAAAGGAGTCAGTTCTTATACTTCCAGTCACTTCAAACTGCACAATATTAATATCATAGACAAACAACTCTGTGGTTGTCCAATTCTTCAGAGTGAACATAATCCAGAAGGCCGCCATATATTGTGTCAGACCATTGGTCCATTTCGCCTGAGGTAACCTGAGGTAGCCAAAACGACTCATCTCCTGACACATCATTGCATCAATGCGGCTTAATAAAGTGGGTGAGCAGTTTTTTTAAAGCTCTCACACCTGGCATGGAGTCAAGTCCGGCCCTTCCATGAGACAAGGCAAAGCAATTTGCCTCAAGCGGCAGATCCAACCCCCGCCCCACCCCCTGCTGCCAGTCCGGCCACAGCCACCTGTACCACCACTGCCGTGGGTGCAGCCACAGGTGAAGATAGTAGTGTGAGCACAATGGTGGTGGCAGGGAGGGGGCCCAGATCTGAGTTGGGGGAGCATTTACACTGGGTTTAGGGTGGTGCAGGCAGTTCCCCCTTGCAAGGTGCCAAGCCAAGGGGGAGTGACACAACAACAACAACAACAACAACAACAACAACAACAACAACATCAATAATCAGTGCTATTTTTCTAGAAAAAGAAGTGCCGGAACTCATCATGAACAACACCCCCCCTTGTTCTCCAAGACATCTGAACATGGAATTTCTTCATTTTGAAAATAACCTGACTGCCCCATTTGCGGGTGGGAAATGGGAAGGACCATTTTCTTCAGGTGGGGGTAAATTCTTATGAGAAGTCCTTCTCCATACTTCTTTAAACTTCTGGAAACAAGATCAGTCTGAGGACCCAAGAGCTTCCTGGGAGCTCTTCGGAAGAATTCTAGGGTGTTTAATGCTGTGAATCTTTACTTACAGTCAACCCATGTAATTATGCAATTCCTATATCACAAAATGCCAATAGGTCTCCAGTGACTTAATTGCAATGGAAGCAGAACCTGAGGGCATTCTGAGCCCCTGAACTCCTCAATGCTTGGAGATTGGAACACATACAAACACACACACACACACACAGAGAGAGAGAGAGATAGAGAGAGAGAGAGAGAGAGAGAGGCAGGCAGGCAGGCAGGCAGACAAACACACTCGTCGTCAAAGCAAGTACAAGGATCCGAAAGAAACTGTCTGGAAGATAGGGATAGCTGCAGCTTCTAGGATGCAGCAATTGTGAAGGGGAAGTCTTCCCAATCAACTGTACGCCCATGCCAAAGGAAAAGCATCACCTGCTAGAGGGGTGGTGAACCTGTGACCCTGCAGACATTGGCCATGGTGATGGGCAATGGAGTCCAACAATATGTAGAGAGCAGCATGTTGGCTACCCTTGCCTCAGTCAGAGATTGTGGTTGAACGGGTCTTGTAGGGCAGGAAACCATTGCAGAACAGCCAGAACATAAATACAAGGAGCCTAGCAGGCTGGGAGGACAGGAAAAAAGTGATTTGGTTATTTTCCTTTTTGTTGTGTAATTGGGTAGAAGTCTTTTCCTTACACCTCTAGAATAAGGTTACCAGACATCGCCGTTTCCTGGGGACAGTCCCAGATTTACAAGTCAGTCCCCTGACAAAATCCATCTATTTAGAAGGAAGTTGAAAAGTGTCCCCAGATTCATTGAAAAAAAAATCTGGCAACCTTACTCTAGAAGTGAAAAGAACCAGGAATGACCTCTAAAATGTTGGGATATTGGGGAGTTGGGGTGGGGCTCTAGGCCTCTGCATGTGGAAAACTATCCTGGCAGGGAAAACGTGTTTCCTGCTGTTTTTCTATACTAAGGAAGTGTTGCCAGGAGATGTTATATTGACGTCTTCCTGTTGCCTTCCTGAGAACATGATTTTTTTTTAAAAATAATAATTTAAGGATATAAAGTGATAACGAAACTGAAAAAGAACAAAAACATCTGAGGACTGAAAGGAGAGGACTGTGAGAGCAAAACATAATGGCTGAGGTAAGAACCCCTTTGCATTGGGGACATTGGCTATCGATCCCCACCCAGTCCAAAATACCTTCGCTTTGATTGTCTTCCCTTTGACTGTTTTTTCGAAGTAAGAGTTGCCACTTGACTTGCTGCTTGCCTCATGCTGCTATCTCTGCTGCAAGCCAATGTACGTTGAACACAGTGAGGCTAACTTCTGTGTAAGAATACTTAGGATAGTTTTGTCTCTAGCTCAGAGCTTTCCAAACTGTGTGTTGCGACACATTCGTGTGTCGGCTGCAGTGTCTAGGTGTGTCACATGAATGCTGCCTGCACTCCTCCCGGGGCTGGAAAGGGGTTAGTTTAACCTCCTGTTTGCTAGTGAAACGGAATTACTGTGTCACAAAATGCTGTGTGTATAAAAAGTGTTTCACCAGCATGAAAAGTTTGGAAAGCTCTGCTTTAGCTCCTTCCTCCTGCCTTGCAAGTCTGACTTACAAAAACTGTAATGAATAATCACAGGATCCAAAATTCATCTGCTTGTGGGAAGAGAGCGAGGCTCCTGCAAGCCATGGATACTAAGTTTTGATTTCTGGCAAAAGAGAGCTTGGAATGAAATCCACAATAAGAGCAGCAACTCCAGTAAAGTGCTGGGCTCTGTACTGTTTTTATGCCTGTAATTTTCATAGCTGTCAACCTACAGATTTGAAAATAAGGGACCAGCAGCCTTGAAAATAAGGGACCAGCAGCCAAAATAAGGAATTTTAGTCAACCAGTTAAAAGGGACCAGATAATTTTGGAGAGCAGCCCCAGGCTCCCACCAGTCCCGGCGGGGAGGGGCTCCTGGGAGCCGATGCTGGTGAGAGGAGGCCGGAGGGGGGTGGGTTGGACAGCCAAGCAACACAGTTGGAGCCTCCCTCCTCCCTGGCCAGCAGGGAGGGAGGGAGAGGAGCTGCTTCTTTTGAAACCCGGGAAATTTAAGGGACATCCATCAATAAGGGACAGCAGCGGGACACAGTGCTGGGATAAGGGACTTTCCCGCCAAATAAGGGACGCTTGACAGCTATGAATTTTATGAAAGTTTCTTGACTTAAATATTTTTATTTAAGTTTGCTTGACTTTCATTTTTATACTTTATTTTATTGTGCAATATTTGAACTGATTTTTGTTTCTGCCTTTGGCTCATTATAAAACCAATAAACATTTTGTCTTTAAAAATGAGTAAACGGCTGGACACTAGAGCTGGGAAGAAAGGAAAGCAGACCTCAAAAGCAGGAAAGAGCTAAGAATAGGGGGATTTCCTCAGTGAAGGGGTTTCCATCTGCCCTTGCAGCATCTTGCAGGAGGTCATGTGGCGCTTTTCTCAGACCTAAAGAACATGAGAATAACCTGCTAGATCAGGCCAATGGCCCATCTACCTAGTCCAGCATCATAGCTGTCAACTTAAAGATTTGAAAATAAGGGACCAGCAGCCTTAAAATAAGGGATCAGCAGCCAAAATAAGGGATTTTCCAAGCACAGGTATGTTCAACTTCTGAGCCCCTACGAGCCAAAGGCAGAAAGCCCAGCCAGCAGCCAAACGAAGCCTCAAGCGGTGGTTCCCAGAGCGCAGCAACCCAGCAAAGGGGATGCAGCAAGGAAAACCACCGTCACCTCTCCGCTGAGAAGCGCTGAGCAAAGGCGAGTCCCCAGGCAACGTGGCCGATTTGATCAGCACAAGGCATGCAAGCTCCACCCCCCAGTCGTTCTTAGACTCCTTATTGGGTGAGCAACACAGCCAAGCAAACACAGTTGGAGCCTCCCTGGCCGGCAGGGAGGGGGGAGAGGAGCTGCTTCCTTTGAAACCCGGGAAATTTAAGGGACATCATCAATAAGGGACAGCAGCGGGACACAGCGCTGGGATAAGGGACTTTCCCGCCAAATAAGGGACAGTTGACAGCTATGTCCAGCATCCTGTTCTCATAGTGGAGCAGGTAGCGCTGTGGACTAAACCACTGAGCCTCTTCGGCTTGCTGATTGGAAGGTCAGCGGTTCAAATCCCTGTGAGCTCCCGTTGGTCTGTCCCAGTTTCTGCCAACCTAGCAGTCTGAAAGCACACCAGCACAAGTAGATAAAGAGACACTGCTGCAGCAGGAAGGTAAATGGCGTTTCCACGTGCTCTGGTTTGTGTCACAGTGTTCCATTGTGCCAGAAGCAGTTTAGTCATGCTGGCCACATGATCCGGAAAGCTGTCTTGTGGACCTTCCCGTTGCAGCGGTACCTATTTATCTGCTTGCACTGGCGTGCTTTCAAACAGGATACTGCTAGCAGCAGTAAAGGTTTAATAAAATGAACCATGGATGGGGGAGAAGGGAAGTCAGTGGAAAGAGTATGGTTTGTATTTTGACTTGATATTATTGTGCAAATTTGTAAAATTGAAAATGATAAATACAATAAAAAAGATAACGATGCCATAGAGTGAGGTCTGGGATAAATATTTGTCCTCTAGGTGTGGCTCGATTTGAACTCCCATCAACCCTAGCAACTATGGCTAATGTCCTGGGGTTATGGGAGTTGTAGTCCAACAACATCAGGAAGGCCACAAGTTCTCCATCCCTGAGCTACAGTATAAAAGAAAAGGCTGCCTCTGTGGCTGTGATCCTATGTATTTGGGAGAGTGTTTCATTGAACCTAGTGGAACTTACTTCTGAGTAAACTTGCACAGCTGTTTAGCCAAGGAAAACATGGGCTCACTTTCTTCTTGCAGAGCCCAAAGCCTGGAGACCAGATTGAGATTTATCGATTGGGTTACCAACACTGGGCTATCTACGTAGGCGATGGATATGTGGTCCACCTGACTGCTGCAGGTAAGAGCTTCTCATTAGAAAGGGTGGTTTTATGAGAGGGAAGAATATGACAGAGAACATTGGCAGATTACCCCTGAAGAAACACAGCCCTTGGGGGTGGGGAAGGTTCCCCACCACTGGCTTAGGGACTAATTGTTGCTGGAAGTTCTATGTCCTGATACTTGCAATTGTTGTAAGCCAGTTAGATGACTGCTTTGTAGCCAAGAGATGGCATTCTGGTTGGGTGTAAGTTGTTTTGGGTTGCCTTGGGCAAGATAAGAGTGACTAACATTTTTAAAAAAAATAATAGTATTTGTCAAAACAACAACAACTGATGTCTTCTTGAAGACAAAGTTGTTGATGAAATGTAGGGAATCCAGGCCTAATTGTCACTGCTTCTGAGTTTCTTTTCTCTCTCTGTTCTTGAGATGAGGGTGTGGAAAGTTTTCTCTGTAGTTGCCCGACTCCCTACACAAAAATGGGAGTGGTGAAGAAAGAAAAGCTTTCAGAAGTGGCTGGGAAAAACAAGTGGAAGGTCAACAACAAGAAGGACAGAAAATATAAAGCCAGGCCTGTAAGCGAAATAATTAGCACTGCAAATGGATATGTTGGGGGAAAGATAATGTACGATGTGGTCGTGCACAACTGTGAACATTTTGCTGCCATACTACGATATGGCCAACGTGACAGTAGACAGGTGTGTAGAATTCATTCATGTTTTCGTAATGGCAATCTGTGCTGTGATATTGAAATTCATTCTTAATTCCTGATCCTGGAAAAATGAAGTGAGATTAAGAAGCAGGTAATTTAATTTATTTTTATGTGGATTTAATTTCTAACCCTCATTTACAAAGATGGGGAGCAGAACGGAACATTTACTTGGAGTATGTTGAAGTACTGCAAACCAGAACAACAAAAAAATAGATATCATAACATTTAAAAATGAGAAGATTACAAACTCTGAACTCAGGTTTCCAAATTAATGACAGGCTTGTACCCTGATGAAAAATGTTGGGTCTCTATTCCCTTAATATTTTTCACCACAGAACTCAGATTTTTGCACCAAAGCATGTTCTGTTACTTGGAATTAATTTCTAAAGCATATTTTAAACCCAGAGTTAATTGTCTTGGAATCTGAGAGTTTCAAATCTGGCTATTTTCTGTCCCAAAGAAACATTTAAAGCAATGTTTCATATCAACTCTGTTGTGAGAAATGAAGGACCGTCGGTCACTGTGAATAAAAATGCTTAAACCTCTTATTTTTTGCAGGTGGAAGTCGGTTTCTGGGTGACATTCGCTGCTACTGTAGCTGTGGCCATGGGTGCAAGCTTGGTAGCAGCTGCAATCATTGGTAAACACCATTAGTCAGTGTTCAATATATGAAGAGACGTGTGAACAATCTAAAAGACTGTTGGAGGAGAATCCTAGGCTGGCTTCTAAGAAGATCCCATTTTAAAAGAACAACAGTTATTGAATAAAAATAAAAACATCAAATCAATCAAGAGTTAGGTTTTCTGTCTTTATCCATTGCTCTGAATTTTGGAGGATGGCTCTGTTTCAGTTTGTGCATTGTTTTGTAAAGTGCAGATTAGTTAAGAATTTGAATGTGAATTGAATCAAATTTCTCCCTCCTGCCTCTAGATGTGGTAGAGGACACTGATCAACGTTGAAGTAAGGTTCAACTTACTTGAAGTCTGGTCAACTTCTGTACTTGGAATGGAGGATGCCACCATCTTGTTTCAGGCCACCCTTGACACGTACAACGTTTCGCTGCAGGCCTCGGTTGTTAAAAATCAATACGTGCCTGTATAAAGAATTCCACAACAGTGTAGCTTGTGAATTCATTGGTACAGTCATACTGAGTTGCAGATCTCCATTTTGAAGGGAGTTGACTTCTTCTTCTTCTTCTTCTTCTTCTTCTTCTTCTTCTTCTTCTAAGAGTTCTGCCAGTAAAAGTTTGAATAATATTTTAATGGGTCTGGACAATGATCTATTCCAAAAGGAGTCAGTTCTTATGCTTCCAGTCGCTTCAAATTGCACAATATTAATATCATAGACAAACAACTCTGTGATTGTCCAATTCTTCAGAGTGAACATAATCCAGAAGGCCGCCATATATTGTGTCAGACCATTGGTCCATTTCGCCTGAGGTAACCTGAGGTAGCCAAAACGACTCATCTCCTGACACATCATTGCATCAATGCGGCTTAATAAAGTGGGTGAGTGGTTTTTTTTAAGCTCTCACACCTGGCATGGAGTCAAGTCCAGCCCTTCCATGAGACAAGGCAAAGCAATTTGCCTCAAGCGGCAGATCCAACCCCGCCCCACCCCCTGCTGCCATTCTGGCCACAGCCACCTGTACCACTGCTGCCGTGGGTGCAGCCACAGGTGAAGGTAGCAGTGTGAGCACAATGGTGGTGGCAGGGAGGGGGCCCAGATCTGTGTTGGGGGAGCATTTTACACTGGGTTTAGGGTGGTGCAGGCAGTTCCCCCTTGCAAGGTGCCAAGCCAAGGGGGAGCGACATAACAACAACAACAACAACAACAACAACAACAACAACAACAACAATATCATCAATAATCAGTGCTATTTTTCTAGAAAAAAGAGGTGCTGGAACTCATCATGACCACCTCTCTTGTTCTCTTAGAAATAATAATAATAATAATAATAATAATAATAATAATAATAATAATAATAATAATTTATTTTTACCCCGCCAATCTGGCTAGGTTTCCCCAGCCACTCTGGGCGGCTTCCAACAGAATATTAAAATAAAATAGTCTATTAAACATTAAAAGCTTCCCTAAACAGGGCTGCCTTCAGATGTCTTCTAAAAGTTTGGTAGTTATTTTTCTCTTTGACATCTGATGGGAGGGCGTTCCACAGGGCGGGTGCCATTACCGAGAAGGCCCTCTGCCTGGTTCCCTGTAACTTGGCTTCTCACAGCGAGGGAACCGCCAGAAGGCCCTCGGCGCTGGACCTCAGTGTCCGGGCAGAACTAAGGAGGTGGAGACGCTCCTTCAGGTATACTAGACCGAGGCAGTTTAGGGCTTTAAATGTCAGCACCAACACTTTGAATCGTTCTTGGAAACGTACTGGGAGCCAGTGTAGGTCTTTCAAGACCGGTGTTATATGGTCTCGGCAGCTGCCCCCAGTCACCAGTCTGGCTGCCGCATTCTGGATTAGTTGTAGTTTCTGGGTCACCTTCAAAGCCCCACATAGAGCGCATTGCAGTAGTCCAAGCGAGAGATAACTAGAGCATGCACCACTCTGGTGACACAGTCTGCCGGCAGGTAGGGTCTCAGCCTGCGTACCAGATGGAGCTGATAAACAGCTGCCCTGGACACAGAATTGACCTGCGCCTCCATGGACAGCTGTGAATCCAAAATGACTCTCAGGCTGCGCACCTGGTCCTTCAGGGGCACAGTTATCCCATTCAGGACCAGGGAGCCCTCCACACCTGCCCGCCTCCTGTCCCCCAGAAACAGTACTTCTGCCTTGTCAGGATTCAACCTCAATCTGTTAGCTGCCATCCATCCTCCAACCACCTCCAGACACTCACACAGGATTTTCACTGCCTACACTGGTTCTGATTTGAAAGAGAGGTAGAGCTGGGTATCATCCACATATTGATGAACACCCAGCCCAAACCCCCTGATGATCTCTCCCAGCGGCTGCATGCAGATGTGAAAAACAATGGCCACCTGAGAGGTGCCAGAACTGAGTTCCGGCTTTAAAAAAGCCCTAGTAATAATAATAAAACCTATATTTATACAGGTACCCACTGAGAAGATCCATAAAAAGCAACTGTACCAAAATGAACTACTGTGAAAATAATAAATATTTAGTGGTGGGGGGGTATTCAAATTTTGTCCTTGCTCAGGGTGCCATATTGCCAAAATCCGCTCCTCAGGATACCCTTGCATGAAGTCTATTGTTATCAGGATCATTCATTTGAAGTGTTAGAGCTTATTTATGACAGTGATAACTAATGGAGGAAAGCCAACACGGGTTCCCATGCAGACACTGACCATAGCTAGACCTGCTTAACTTCAGCAAGGTTGTGATTCAGACCCATCCCACCTCACCTGTGCTGGTGACATTTTACGATAAAAGATTGAAACGTTTCTCAAGGAATGTCCTGTTGAGAAAGTGGAGAATGTCATTGGCAGCATCAGAGTTAGACCTGTTTTAAGAAGAGAGGTGCGGCATATTTCTCTTAATTTGGGGGCTCCGAAGCTGGCATATAGCCACAAAGTACTTCCTTTTACAGGGATGCAGGTGGCGCTGTGGGTTAAACCACAGAGCCTAGGGCTTGCCGATCAGAAGGTTGGCAGTTCGAATCCCCGCAACGGGGTGAGCTCCCGTTGCTCAGTCCCTGCTCCTGCCAACCTAGCAGTTCGAAAGCACGTCAAAGTGTGAGTAGATAAATAGGTACCGCTCCGGCGGGAAGGTAAACGGCATTTCCGTGCGCTGCTCTGGTTCGCCAGAAGCGGCTTAGTCATGCTGGCCACATGACCCGGAAGCTGTACGCCGGCTCCCTCAGCCAATAAAGTGAAATGAGCGCCGCAATCCCAGAGCCGGTCACGACTGGACCTAACGGTCAGGGGTCCCTTTACCTTTACCTTTACTTCCTTTTACAGCATCAGTAAAAGAAGGCATGCATGTTTGAAGAAACAAAAGCATGCTTTGGAAAAGAAGAGCTACTTATGGCATATAGTCCCCACGTTTTGCAACACCAATTACTATATGATTCTATCATTTGATAAATAATCTAAGATCTGGACAGAGGATCAAAGACGGATTTGCATTAGCACAGAAATCAGGATGAGTTCATTCCAATTGTGTAAGACACTAATTACAGAAAAAATTGTTGCCTTAATTATTAAGTATATCTTGCAGTGTATTTTTATTTTAAAACAGCAGCCACTACACGTGGATGTTTTCATCTGTTCATTTGTGCACAGCCCCAGAGTCCTGCAGAGAAAGCAAAAATAAAATAAAATCCACATTTGGTCTCTGCAGATTTTATTTTCAGACATACATTAGATAAACCTGACAGCTATGTAAAATCACACGTTAGTGCGCAGCTCCCCATTGGCTACATGGCTACATCTTCATTCTGCGTTCCCACACACTGTTTTAATTAAGATTATTTATTTCTTTATTGTGATGATCATATTTTAATTGCCTCTAAAGCACTGGAGAGATGGAGGTGCAAGCACATTGTGAATAATTTATTACCATTTGGAAGTAGAATATATGGCATGATTTTGGAACATGGGCAGTTTGTTAGTGTGAAACATCCCTGGCCTTTGTCTTAGATTTCCATTGACAGATAAACAAAACATCTCATCCATGTCCCACTCAGTTCAAAGCAGTCAACAAAGGGCATATTTCCAATGGATTGTTTCCTATGTTTTTCAAGGACCCATTATCTACTACTCTGCATTGGCAATGGGGGTGAAGGCGTCTCCTCTGTTATTTTTATGTTAACTGACATTTCAAATGTTGAAACACTCCACTTAGGAAAACAAAAATGAAGCATTGAATTATTGCAGAAACTGAAACGAATTGAAAATACAACAATTTGATATGAGGCTACTCCTGTGTTTGATGGTTCAATTCTGCTCAGAGGTGACCAGAGTTTTGCTTATGAGAGCTAAAAAAAAATTGAAATGGGCATTACCTGTGCTACAGGGTTTTGCCGCATGAGTCAAATGTAGGGATGTCAGAGAAATCTGACAAAAAAGAAAGCAGAAACTGCTGCAGCTTATGAGTTTGTTTGTGAACTGGAACAGAAAACAGCCAAGCGAATATGATTGGTATTCATTCACACTGTTGTTTTTAAGTATGCAAGTGATACATAAATGATAGTAGCTGCGTTTTTTTAAACTTTGTTTTGATGTTGCCTTTACATTGAATATAACATAAATTACATAAATAGTTATTTAACTTATGTTAAATAGCATCCAGGAAGACGAATAACATAGTATTTGGCAGAAACTGAACTGCAGCAGAATGGAAACAGCACTGATTGTGACAAATACCGTTTGAGCAAAAATGGCTGCCCTCCGTAGTTTTAAGCCGCACCTCTATATTCTGGTCTTTGACACCTGAGACATGCATTTTTAGGACCCATTCTGGTTCTAATTGAAATTTATCTTACACTGTTTTTCATGTTGTGTTTTATGTTGCTGTTAACTTTGGACCTTCTGGTGATGAGCGGGTTATGAATTTAATAACAATTCATTATTATCATTGTCCAACATGTCCTTGCTGGAAGCTGCCATATTTTCCGAGCTAAACCGAATTTGTCATTTTTTTAAATGCTAAGAGAGAGACAAAAACCACCACTTACAGCTACTCTAACTGCTATAGAAGGGCTGTGTTTGCACAATATGTTAAGCTAACCTGGAACTGTGTGAATATGTGGGCTTCTACAGAGGAGTTCACATCTACTTTGTGCCTCCCTGGTCCTTTTCACTCCCCTGCCAAGCAATGTCCAGGTTTGGTTTAGCATGTCATCCAAACCTTGGGCCATAGTCAAACTCTCTCTTCATTAACCGTGAGTTGCAGCCAAGGACAAAGCTTGGGTGCAGCTTTTGGTTAAAGGGGAGAGAGCTTAACCACAATCCTGAGTTCGGATGACTCTTCGGGAGACTCTTGAGAGTCCCATGGACTGCAAGAAGACCAAACCTATCCATTCTGAAGGAAATCAGCCCTGAGTGCTCACTGGAAGGACAGATCGTGAAGTTGAGGCTCCAATACTTTGGCCATCTCATAAGAAGAGAAGACTCCCTGGGAAAGACCCTGATGTTGGGAGAG